CGCTTCCCTCTATAGGCGAGACGTCGCCCTCAATTTGCGAGCCCACAAGTGGGCCCGCAGCCTAATCTAAACTAACCTAGCTTAAATTAACTAACCTAGACTAACCTAATAGGACGGCCGCGACCCACGACCAAGAGGTCGAGTTCCAGCTGGTCGCGCCGCCCCGGCATCGGGCTTGCGCCCTCCGCCCTATGAGGCTCACCCTTACCTTTCCCTGACGGTACTCAGTTCGGGCTCGCCTCCCTCAATATTGCGAGCCCACAAGTGGGCCCGCAACCTAGCCTAAACTACCCTTTTTTTTTCACGAGGGGAAATGCACTTCCGCACCCCTGCGCCGGGCCAGTGTGCAATGGCGCAGGGAGTGTGGGACTCGCCTACAGTCGTTCGGCCATACCCACTAAAACCCCTGTAGCCCTCCTCCTCGCCATATGGCCGGGTTACGGATACGCGTGAGCACTCCTCCGCGACCCAGCCGGCGACCGTCCGCAATCGGCCCCTAACGTCAGACCACGTGAGCTGCGGGTGGGCAGGATAAACCAGTACCCTCCCACATCCCTCGGGGCCCCACCACCCCCTCCGGCCACGAGGGATGCAAGGAGGGCAGGATAAACCAGTACCCTTCCCGCATCCCCCGCGGCCCCACCACCATAGGCAGCACGGAGGCAGACAATCGTCCACCTCCGGCGCCCTCCACCGGTTGGGGCCCGGCTAGCGCGCTAGACCTGTCGGAACACCATCGACTAGTCCTGCGCGCACCGCCAGGCCCGGGCCCGGCTAGCGCGCTAGACCTATCGACATCCCATCGACTAGTCCTGCGCGCACCGCCAGGTCCTGGTGTTTGGTTCGCGGGGCTTTCGCCCTACCCCGACGCAATGTCGGGGCATTCCCCTATCCACCACCCGGGGACGCGCCACGTCGGAGTTCACCTCTCCGCCCACTCGGACAACCGAGCAGGTCCGTGGAGGATAAACCAGTACCCTTCCCGCATCCCCCGCGGCCCCACCACCATAGGCAGCACGGTGGTGGACAATCGTCCACCTCCGGCGCCTCCACCGGTTGGGGCCCGGCTAGCGCGCTAGACCTGTCGGGACACCATAGACTAGTCCTGGGCGCACTGCCAGGCCCGGGTCCGGCTAGCGCGCTAGACCTATCGACACCTCGTCGACTAGTCCTGCGCGCACCGCCAGACCCTGGTGTTTGGTTCGCGGGGCTTACCTCCTACCCCGACACGAATGCCGGGGCGTTCCCCTATCCACCACCCGGGGACGCGCCACGTCGGAGTTCACCTCTCCGCCCACCCGGACAACCGAGCAGGTCCGTGGAAGTCCGCGGTGCTTGTGGCAACCATCAGCGCCGAGCCCGTTCCTGCCGTTGAGCCTGCCGTGTCGATGCCGCCGCCGTCGCAGTTGGGCGAACCTGTGACTGCGAGCTCGCTTCAAGGGCGCGCTTCAGGCTTCAACGACTCCGTCCTCACCGGAGCGTCCCGCGAGCGCTACGTCAGTCCAGGCCAGCGCCGCCGATCGCATCATCGATGCGATACGATCCATAAATATACCGGTGAGATCTAAACAGTCTTATTATTTTTCTAATTTTGATCCGAGTGTTAATGACATAGAGACATGGTGGGAAGAAGTAGACCGTGCTAGGTCTTCTAATAATTGGAGTGATCACGAATGTCTTTCTCGCATTGGCAATTGTTTACAAGGAGATGCTAAAACGTGGCTCAGTGAATGGGTAACTAATGACCGCAGTTGGAGTAATTTTAAAAACGAATTTAAGCCTTTATGTCTTTATAAGAATTTTTTTTATAATATTATTATATTTTAAATCTAACCTAATTTATTTGATAAGAATATTGTAGTTTCAGTGTGAATTGTGGGATGAAGTGTATTATAACTTGTATTTGTGTATTATAAAGCTGATGTTTTCTTCTGAGAAGATTTCCAAGAACCATGTGGTTGGTACATTGTGTTTTTTTAATACAATAGTACTATATTTTGTATTTTTTGTTGTTTTGACTATTATTCTATCTCACTACATATCAAATAAAGTATCAATGACTACACTTGATATTTTATGTACGTAAATAAATCTTATTCCATATTTACGTTAAAATGGTGCTAAATGTTTTTATATTCGTAATTACTTAGTAAAAGTCAATGAAATGAAAGTTCGCTTTGAAATTGTATAGAAGTTCTTAATAAAATAACAGGTAATGCTTCACAAAACCGAATCAAGCGAAATTTCCATTACATATGTATTAAACGATAGGGAATATTCTTACACTGGTTTGGAAGTTTTTTTGGGGTCGTAACTTAAGTTGAAAAAAAAGGAAGAAAACTACATAGGGTAAGTTAAGTTTGGAACAATAAAAAAAAGGAATAGGAAAGCGCAGGATAAGTAAAGCTAGGTTTATAACATGTAATAAAATACCAAAAGCAAACTGGAAAGGTTAGGTTTGGAACATTTTTAATACCATAAAAAACATCGAAAATGCGAAAATATTTTCTATTATAATTCATGTTATTTTATAAAAATTGTGAGTGTCAGCATACCTGTGACAAAACTGAAAACATATGAAACAATTTTATTATCTCACTGAAATAAATTAAGACCCCGAAAAAAAATCTTCATAGTAATATATTCATCTTCAGCAATCTTCATCGCAATAATACTCATGGTGATCATTTCCTAAAGTTTAAAATTTATTTTACGAAAACTTGGTTTGATTCGCTATTGTAAAGTTGTACCAAATAAAATTAGTATTCAAATGTTAAAAGACTTAACCGAAATTTATTATTAAAAAGTACACATCTTTAGGTTTGTTTATAATAAAATTATGAATAACATCAACAATATATGATCTTATAAAAATAAAGATATCTGTAATAGTTTATTTTTCTAAATAAAAAATAAATGGTTTACTCGAAATATGAAAAAGATTCAATAATAAAGATTAACTTAAACATTATTTAGGTTGTGTGTAGAATATCTCTAATATAGAGATATTCTACACACAACCTAAATAATGTATTGTTATAATATATTGTTTCAAATATTGTAGATCAAACTGTAAATTGGTCATGACATGACAAGTTTTTCAAACTAATTTGATTTATGATTCTATCATAGACATTTCACAAAAATGGGCAGGCAGTAAAAGTTCCTATCTGTACCTGTAAAAACTAATCATCATTTTTTACATGGTTTGTGAGTTCCATCATTGTAGAGAATTGCAAAGAAGTTTTGTAAGTAAAGGGGAAGAGATCCATATAATCAAAGAAACCACTTTTTTAATAAGGTATGTAATTAGGTGAAAAGCAATAATTAAATTGATTATGTTGTAGACTTGAATCAATTAATTACAATTTCATTCTGTTGCAGATGAATAATGCAAGGAATCTGCTTCAGAATTACTGACTGCATGTCGCTGCAACATCTGTGCTACAAAGTTTGATTGTTTGATAATTGTAATTCTAAACTAAATTTGAAAAATAACTTATTATATGGAGTAGTTTAACCGCAAATCCAAAAAAGAGTCACCATGTTGCAGGAAATGCTAGTAACTATATTAATGTCAATATTGATTAATAGATGTGTAACCTATAGATTTAGTGTTTTATATTAGTTTGATGTTAATAATATGACAATTTTTAGTAATATGTATTACTTTAATATAAAATATACACTAGCATAACAAGATTTTCTCGAAATTGGGAAATGCAGTGTATAGAAAATAAAAATATAATAAAATATAGGGAATTAAGTATCGAGTACAAAAGATAAAAAAAATACCATTTAGTGAAAAATATGAAACAAAATTAATTTGGATGTTACAAATATCACAACTTATAATAAAACCTAAGCCTTTTTTGAACTAAGTAATAAAAAATAAACAGAGATTGTATACAATTTGCTTACAACTAATTTAAATTTCAACACAGGTACTTTACCCCAAAATGATGCTCCTAAGCTCATAATTTTTCCTAGTTAAGGAATCTATAGGTTACACATCTATGGAGAATAGTAATAACAAAAGAGTTAAAATGCGGAATCTTTAGGTTCATGATAATTTTATGAATTTATTTGAAGAGTAAAACTTAAGTATTGTATTCTATTTTTACAGTACATAATATTTAACATGATTTGTACATTTGCAATGTTTTGATAGGAAAAGTTTGGATTAGGGGACTATTTGGAGCGTCGGCAGTGCAGTTGGCGCTTGACCGGATCATATTTTACATATCCAGGTACGATCTCCGCTATATAGTATAATGCGTTCTTAGAATTTCTTGATAACATCCATCCGACATTCTTACTGTAATTACAAATTGTATACAACTGCATAGATATTCAAAGATATCTCCCAACGAGAGTGACACTACTACTCCAGTTCTATCAGAAAATATGACCTATCAAATAAACAAACTGGAACAAATAAGCATTTATCAAAGTTGGGGTATTTTATTGGTGAACTAAACAATAATGGTATTATTACGAAAGCAGTGAGCATTATGTTGCGTTATTAAAATATGTTCGCTTTAGTCAGAAGATTAAATTAAAGTTGCAATTAACGAAATGGTTTTATTTTTCCTAAATTGTTTTCCCTCGAATAATACTTTCAAACGTCAAAAAGGAAACTGACAGATTGATTTTTTTAGGTTGGTAGCAACGTAGACTGGTTCATAACATTGCTAGCATTGAAAATGACAATTTTTATTCTCCGTTTGTTTAGTCAAGAGTCCCGTCTTTTATTTTATATACTCTTTGGGTCCTATGTCAAAGAGATTGAAAAGGACAAAAATATGTTTTTTTTGTTCATGTTTCTTGCCAGTGGATCCACACGTTTTGCTTGGAAATATTTTCTGGCAAACTTCATGTTCAACAATGGTAACATTGGCAGTTGTCTATGTCATAGCTATTTGACTTTAGCTATTGCCATGGTAACATTGACTCATAACTGTCAAACAGTTCAAATTGAAACTGTCAAAATGTCAGTGTCATGATTTTATAAACTGCATTTGCGTCACGTCAGAAAAAGTTCATACGTAATGTTATTTATTTATGTGATTTCCTTTTTGTTACAAAGTTTCTGACGAATAGCCATATTCTTTAAATCTAATAGTAATTATACAATCTCACTGTTCACAAATGGCTGCGATAGCTTTAAAAATTAAAAATAAGGATGGTCAGCATGTTTTAAAAGATTTGACCTCTGAAAGTACAGTGGGCGAATTGAAAATATTTCTCTCTAGTTTATCAGATGTTGGTATAGAAAGAATACACGTGTTATTTGGTTATCCACCGAAGCCTCTCGACATTAGTAATGATAACAAAAAGTTAAACGAAATTGGTTTAAAGACTGGTGAAACTTTAATTTTGGAAGAAAAACAAGTTCAAGAAAATGCGCAGAAAAATGAACCACAGAAGCCTCTAGAAAACGGTATAGCATCTCATGAGACTATAGGGTCATGTCGACCAGGTATTCTAATGAAGAAAGTAGTCCCTCCAGATAACTCTTGTTTATTTACTAGCATAGGTAAGTGATTAAAAATATACCTTTTACCAAAGCCTGTACAAAATCTTAAGGTAAAGAAAAACATTGCGATGCAAACTGCATATATTGGCATATTAATTCAATGTTGTCTTTCATGTCAACCAACCTGCACTAGGACTAAGTGGCTGTTGTGACATGACATAAGATAGGCTCAAAGATTATCCTGAAATCCTGCAGTTTTAACTAGTCTATTATATAAGCATATTACATAATTTATTTAAAATTAATTCTTTAAAAAGAAATCACAATTAATTACATATTTTATTACATGATATGGATTTACAGGTTTTGTACTTAATGGTAATGTGGATACTAGTGTCCACACTTTGATGCGACAGATTATAGCGATGGAAGTGGCGAGTGACCGTGAGACTTACAATGAAGGAGTGCTCGGCCAACCCAATGCAGACTATTGTGCCTGGATTCAGCAGCCAAGCTCCTGGGGTGGTGCTATTGAGGTATAAATATAGAGATTGTTTAACAGTTTTAGTAATATCAACCCACTCTGCAAGTTAATATTCATATATGAAAATCCTATTGGTATTAATAATGTAAAGTCAAATCAAAATGACAATTGACCCAATAAATTTATTACAAAAGTGTGCATGTTGCATAAAATTAATCTTTGCTTTGGTGTTATATAATATCTTGTTATTTAATGTAACTTATGCAATTGTATAAAGCAAGTTTTGAATATTTATATAACAAATTAAATAATATTATGTCTTCATTATATTAATAAAAGTGTGGATCTAAGTAAAATTTCAATTTAATACAAAATAAATGACGATTGTCATCATTTATTTTGTATTGCTTGAAATTGATTTACAATAATTGTAGTCATTAATGACACACAATTTTTTTTTTATATTTTAGGTGGCTATATTATCTCGTTTCTATGGAATTGAAATGGCAGTTGTGGATACATTAAATGCGATAATTAATAGATTTGGTGAGGATAAGAATTATGGGCAGAGAGTGTTTCTGTTGTTTGACGGAGTACACTATGACCCCCTTTACTTGGAACAATCTGATGTAAGTATAATATTGAAAGTAATCGCTTTTAAAAACACTTATTAAATGGTAGTTCCTTATAAGAAAAGGATGGGAAGTGGAAGTGGACTTTCCGGATGAGAGGATGCATGGGAAGGTAAAATATTTTCTTTCGGTGCATCCTCTCCTCCGTCGATTAAAGGTAAGCAACGCATATGCAATTGCATATGTTTATGGGCAACGGTCACTTTGCTATTTTAGCGATTTCAGGATGCTCGCTTGTTTGCCGCCTTCTGATATAAAACAAAATATTGAGTAACTGTTCACTGTAAACAAAGTTCAATGAAGAGTTTCATATCATTGTAATATTATTTCAGGGAGGTGTCCAAACAATATTCCCATCAGAGGACATGGAAATATATAGAGAGGCTGAACAATTAGCTCATGAAGCTAAATCCTCGCGTCAGTTCACTGACCTTAACAAATTCACGCTCAAATGCCTTATCTGCAATAAATTCCTCACGGGACAGGTTGAGGCGCAACGTCACGCGAAAGAAACTAAACACACAAACTTTGGTGAATTTTAGCACCATCTTTAGCTCATAATATAGATAACAATTATAGTTTTAATTGTGGCAACTCTAAATGTCTATGGTCAAATGTCACAAATTTGACAATTAAAATGAATTTGTTAATTACTCGTCTTTAGAATAAGTTTTTGTCACAGCATGCGGTTATGAATTTTATAGCATGATCTCGAAATTGTATATTTCTAATGAACTAAAATTAATATTTGACGAAAAGTTTTTTTGTGTGTTTTACAAACTTATCTAGCCTGGCGGATGTGGTGTTGTTATCGCGGTTATTTCTTTTAAAATTAGGCATAGAAAATAAAACAAAATTGATCCTATGTTGGCTGATTTAGTTTCACTTTTGCCCACCAAGCTAGATTTGTCGCACTATATGCAATTATGAGATTTACCTCATGCTATAAGAGCTGTCATATCGTTTTAAATATCAAGAAGTTTGTTCTAATTTTAAAAGTTATTTTACTTTTAATATTTAATTATGGCATTATTTGTGTTTTTCCGTCCTACGTTTTTTTTTATATCTAGTAATTTTTTTTTACTAAATCATAGAAAACAATAAAATATATTCTTGCTTTTATTCAATTTTTGATTTCATAGAGGCAAAGAGATCGTAATTCAATTTTATAGGTAATTCTAAAAATAGAAATTTGTAGTTTTATCTTTGCTAGATCGTGTTAACATAGTATACGCATATTAACACATTCAATGCCAGCATCTGGTAACTTCACTATATAAAAATAGTGGCATTGAATGTGTTAAATTAATGTATGGAAGAATTATTTTATTACTAGAGTATATAGAAAATGGTAGAGTAGCTTTTTCATGCATCAAACACTGCCATTAATATAAAAAAAAACATTCATAATAAGACTAACATCACAAACATGTTGCCTTGAAAATAATTGTTAATGAATTTTTTTTATGGGATGTTTTGACAATATATGGTGTAACCACCTTTTGTCCGAGACCAGAATTAAAATGTAACGTGTTATTTATAGAGTACCGATTTTTACCATAATAAATATTTCACGAACCAAATAGATTTTTTATTTAAAACCATTATTTCTAAGTAACCTGTATATGACTAGTATTGTTGACCGTGGTCTAGTCATCGCCTACGTTTAGGCTCGGCGCAGACGAACTTCTGACCACACCACACAAGTGTGCGGCGCGTTCTTACAAAATGTATGAAAAATCGAGTTAACAGCTTGTAGCTGTATTCAGTGGCCCGTCTGCACCGAGCCTTAGGTTTCAAGGACATATATGACACAGCTAGTGGGGTTAAAATAATTATGGGAGATGAATAAAAAAGAACATTAAATTTATTCGATTTATTTTTAACACAAAAATGTACAATGTCAATAAATATAGCTAGTCACATCGGCTATCACTTTTCCTTTAATTTCCTTACTCACTTTATACAAGTTGTTATACAACTTAACCTTATTTTTACCTCACGCTAACACTTCGCTAGGGATGGTAGATGTTCATTTGATAAAACATCGATTTATCTTATGTCTTATGAGAAATATCTCCTTTAAAATGTAAATCAATCTTCCAATTTAAGTTATAGCTGACTCGTCATTTTGAAAATAAGAATATTAAATCAACATATATAATGGAATACTGGGTTTACTTGCATTAAATCGTAATTTTCCACCCACGAAACATCTATAAAAGTTTTGTTATATCAATTTTTTCAAACAGAATCTAAGACAATATTTTCTTTCTGTGTGTGTTTCACAATGTGAACTCACGGAAAGATTAACTTGTATAATCGATGTTGAAATAACATAAACCATCCCTATTCTGATAACAGTTGTGCAGTTTCCTGGGCCATCCATAGACTATAGTATCGATATTATTTTCCATAGACAAATTTATTTACTAGACAATTATTGCAACACTGTAACATCGTATACAATGCGCTCTTTTTCTAACAGATAATAAATATCAATTAAATTTTCACACAACCTTCAGTGTCCCCGAAATCGTATTTGACCGTGTGCTCTCCGGTTACCTGCCTTGATGATATGAAATGTTTATTTAGCGTTATACAATTTATAACATAAAAAAACAATTATATTAATATTTATAATAAATGTCGTTGTCAAATCAATATCTTTTTTTAAATTGGTTGAGTAATGTTTGAGTTTATCCAGAATAAAATATGTCTCACTGCGCAATAAAAGTCAACCACGGAGTTTAGTGACCCACATTAATAAAAATTTAAAATATAAAATTGCCAAATAGAGGGATATAGGTTTGACAACAACAAATATATTCCTGTTTTATCACTTCTGGGGTTTTCTTTGATCCAAAATATACAAAACAAGTCCACTGTAGCTTGAACTAATACTAAACTAATCCAGTATAAATCGTGTTATAAAAGTTACGAAGCGTTCAGCAGTGCAGCAAGCGTATACTATGGATGCGCCCAAAATATTTCTAATACGTTTTCATACGTAACCAAAAAACGCGATTTAAAAAAAAAATGGTTTACTCTGTACCAAATAAAGTCCGTTAGAAACGTTCAGTTTTTACTGAACAAACGAATTGTACAGTTTAAACTGTATATTAACTGCACTGTACGATTGACAGTTAAAATTTTGCCTACACACGTACAGTTTTATCTATTCGACTGTTCAGTAAAAACTGAAAGTCTGTAGCGGGTTTTCGAAATGTTGTAAAAATAACCCTCATGTTTTTGTTGTATATTACAAAAAATTGTAGTAAATTGTGAGATTAAAATTTAAAATACATTTTGAAAATAGCACAAAAAGAATTTAAGTTAAGAAACAAAAAGTTTTAGGTGAAAATGAAACTTATAATATTTATGTCTTGATTTGGAACAGTGTATTTAATATATCAGGATCGCGTTATTCGTTCACGTAAGACAACGCTTTAGTAAAAACTAGAAAAGCGGTTATAAAATATTCATCAATCATTTTCTACCTACAAGCCTAAAATAATCTCGATTATAAAAAAAATCATTTCCCAATACTCCAAAGGAGTTTGTTTCAATATTTGTACAGTGTCAAATATAAAATATTGCTTACATTCGACAATATTTTAATATTGTTTAAAATAGGCAATATTCATAAAAAAAAATCAGACACTAATTTTTTTTTTAGAAAATAGAAGCAACTTTTCATTATATTTTTTTTAATTTATGGACATTTTCAAATATATTAACAATTTTTATATAATATTATTTTTATCTACGCATATTTTAATTATTGTGCGTGAAAAGTTGCAACTATTATAATTAGGATTAGGAATTAAAACTTTCGCGGCTGTATTGTCCAAATTCTAGAACACTGACTCTATATATGGACAGGCTATAAACCCTAGTATTTTGTGCCTATTTGAAGCAGTTGTGTGGATTCAAACAACTGACAGGTACTTCAACAGGCCTGTTTATGACCTATCCATTCATAGAGGTCAATGAGTAGGTATTTTTTCTAGATTTTTTTTATGCAAATTAAAAGGTGCTTGGTCAAACGATATACCATTTTTTCTTACAAAACAAAAAAATTAGGATTTGACCATACTATAAAAGTGATATGAAAAAAATAACTATATAAAATATAAATTGATTCATGATTACTTCAAATATCTATTAAATAATCAACAATAGCACTTGATTTAAAAAAAAAAAACTAAAAAAAATCCCAAATTACATTTGGGAATATTTTATGAGTCGTTCGTTTTTTTTTTATTATTTTTTGTAGGATATTAATGCAACGAATTTAAATTCTATATGGCAGTAATAAAAAAAATAAATGCTACCTAAGCGAAATACGTTAAGGTTACTATCGACGGCTTTGTCATACAAAAATACGTTTTTCAGAACTATTTTTTTGTAAATTTTGATTAAACCTATCTATAAGGTTATCGTGGAAATGTAAAAGACCCATTTTAATCTTAAAAAAGACGCTAAAAAAAAGTTACATAAAAAAATCTAATAATCAAACTTTTTAAAAGTAAAAATTAAATAAAAATTGTTTTAAATCCAGGGCGTTATTATTTTTCCATACAATATTTTTATAATGTATTCGAGATATAATTATTATTCGTTCGTATAAAAAATGGGTCTTTTACATACTTTTAATATGGCATAAAGAAATCACATCAAAATAAGAGAAAACAATATTGTAGGTTTTAAAATCGACTGAGAAAAAGCGTACAATAATATTAGGCTGCCCTTTAGTCTGTTTTTGCATGAAGTAAATTATTTTGAATAGAAACATAATCTTCAACAAACAGACCTTCAAATCTTTTGTCTGTTATTGACAAATTTTTGACTAAATTATCAAATTAATAGTGATTTATTTCTAACTTTGTATTAACAGAATTTCACTATTTAACTTTTATTTTAATTAACATTAGGGGTCCGATAGTAATGTTTTCATAGTTTCCGACTTTTTTAGCTGTCGATTTTACTGTACGATATCCTAAGGTGTGTAGAATTTAGACCTAGGTCCAAAGGACTGTAGACTTTAGACCTAGGTCCAAAGGACTGTAGACATTACACAAAGATTCAAAGATCTGTATACTTTGGACCTAACACCAAAGGTCTGTAGACTTTAGACCTAGGTCCAAAAGTCCGTACATTTTAGACCTAGGTCTATAGGTCTGAATAGTCTGGTCTTGTCTCTTCTAAGATGTTTATTGCTGTGGCTTGGCGAAGGAGAACCTGGGCAATGAGATACCGAATTTGGTCTCCAGTCCAGTGAGCACTGGCATGGCGACCTGGTATCCGCCGATGTGGTCAGCTTTCTTCTTTGTCTCCTCAATCGGTGTAGACACGTGCAGCTCTGAGCCGGTCGGACGTCTGGGGATACATTTTGGTAGTTAATTTTTTATACAAATTAGAATTAGAAAAGGAAGTTATAAATAATTTTTTCTCTGGGTAAGTTATTGACTAGTCAAGATCGTGATGCAACTTGCATTTATCTGTAAAATCCAGTACAACTACCTAAATGCATTGTATTTCCATTTCGTATGAAATAAAGCATAGTGATACGTTTTTAGTATAGTAGGTTTGTAGAAATTGGTAGTATTGTACTCACGAGCCACCGAAGTCTACGTAGAAGAGACGCTGCAGGATCTCATAGGTGACTAGAGTCACACCGAACTGCGGCGATGAGCGGAACACGCGCGCTGCAAACACATCGATGTTAAATAAAATCTAACACCAGTTGCCAAATCTTCATATTCATTTTTTACAATATCGGGTACAAGGGACTTAATCAGCGTAAAATAAAAAAGTAGCCTATAACATGCCCGCGTCCATCAGCTACCTTCCCGAGAGATTACCCGGAACATAGCGGACGTACGAAATTAGTTTTTTTCGATATTTCAGACTCTATTAAGATTAGAATTAAGAGCAAATTCAAAACAAGTTTTAGAGTATAATATAAATCCAATTTGAACTAATTTTATTAGAAAATTAACAACCAATATGCATAATAACTTTCGTTTAGCTTCTAGTATGAAGGAAATTAA